CAGGGGAGGCCTGTGTGGTGGCCTTACAAACTCAGATACCTAAGATAACCACAACAGATGGTCTGAAATTAAAACTTTTTAACTAAAAGCAGTTTATGGTGGGTAGTCACGTCCTAGGCTGGCCTCTTCCCTGACAAAGGTCAATTTTTACCTTAACTGTCTACTGTCTTTTGCATCTACAATAATACATCTTTGGAATGTCAAAGTAATTTTCCTTTTTCCAGACCCCTCAAAGGACAGGCACCACTCTGCAGAGAACACAAATCCCCTCACTGTTATTAATTGTTGACTGTTAACTATCCTGCACCCACCTGTGTGAAAGAAGCACGTGTCTATCATATTAATTTTTTATTATCTAATCCCAGAGATTTCCCCACTTTGCTTTCTCCCGCCTCCTAATCTATCACCAATGGATTTCATGTAACCCACCGATGGATTTCATGTCTCCTCTTCTGATTGTAATGTATAAAATAAGGTGAAAACTGCCATTCTCCAGAGCATTATCTCAATCCACTGAGATTTTGCTTCCCAGCAACTGTTGATAGTTTGGCTCAGATAAACTCACAAAATATTTTTACAGGTTTGAATGTTTCTTACGTTGACAAGAGTAAACTGGCTATTCCATATACTCACTGCAGGGATGCTGTAGGCCAGTTACATGATAAACTGCTATTCCATCACTCACTGCTTTAAAGACCCAAGGAAGAAATCTCACATCTACCCATCGCAGAAGTTGTTGCAGAGATTCCATGACTCCCATAAGTGGGTATGAGCTGCCAGTTGCTTTGGTTGCCAGATCTTATGTCTCCATTTTGTCTCCTGACCTTATATCCTGAATTAAAGCTGTTTTGCTATCCTTGCTGCCTTGGTCCAACTTTCTGCTTGAGATCTATTAATCTGAAGCCTTTGTGCCATATCTTGCTTATGTATTCTGAAATTCTCTTTGGATAGAGATGGAATGTCAATATAAAAGGAACACATTCTATAAGCAAACGAAACCATAATGTTTTAGAATGGCAGGTACCTCAGAAATAGATCACCTAACTCAATCCCCCACATTTTAAAGATGAAAAACAAGACAAAGTTAAGAACTCAAACGAAGCCAGAGGTTGCAGAGACTTGATTGCAAAGCCAAGGCTAAAGGAACCTGACTCACGTGAGCCATCTCTAGCCCTCCAGTTGCACTCCGTTCCAGAGTTAACATAGAGTGGAGTTCCAACCCTGCCATAACTTCAGAGAATCCCTGAACCATCTTTAGAACTAAGTGCTGCCTCCTGCCACGCACACACCTCAATTTTAGCCAGGTTTTTTGACTTGCTGATTTTTCAGGCAGGCTGCTTGAAGATCCTGCCTCTGAGCCCTGAGTTTTTATTGCTTCTGCTATCAGCAAATATAGAGTGCTAAGAGTTATAAAACAATACATACAGCATGATCTTATTTAGTGTAATAAAAACAATTGTTTCTACTAGTATAGAAAAAAAGATGTAGAACACAAAATGTTTGTAATATTTATAGTGCTACTAGTAAGTGGTGAGATTACAGTTAATTTTTTTTTCCCATTAGGCTTATCTGTATTGTTAATTTTTTCCTCCAATAACCATAAAGAGTTGCATAAGTGTTTAAAAGACAAAACTAATAAATAAAATCACTTTAATTTATTAAGTATATATCAGCAGGTTACCCCAGTCTGAAGTGTGGTGCTACAAGTCCCGAAGCTATTCCTGGCGCTGGGGATATGGCTTTGCAGGATTTTTATTGGAAGCCCACTTCTCCTGGGCTCTGACCCTCCCCGGGCTTGTTTCTAGCCCATCGCAAGCAAACATGTAACTTTTGCAGAAAAAGGAGACAAAGAGTTTATTTTCAACATGAATTAGCGAGACTGAAGCACTTAAATTCCACTATTTTAGGAAAACATCCTTCCACTTACAGACTGTGGTTTCTTTAAAAGAGAAAGGTTTCCACCTGTAGCCACCACAGAAGACAATCAAAGCTCAGAGCACTCACTGCGCATCAACAAACCTGTTTTGTTCGTGAAAGGTCCTTTCTGTAATCCCTGAGCCTGTCTCTGACCTTTTCAGGATCTAACCATACATAAATTGTAATGGGAGCCCTAAGGTGTTGGGGTGTGTCCTACTCCAGGGAAATGCCCTTGAATGTGCAAAGCTGTACCCTTGTCATCTGCTATGGGGACAATAAAAACAATGTTGTGAAGCACAGCTCTGCCATCAGCAAGGAGTTCTGGGGGAGCCACTGCCTCCTGGCCAGCTTCCCTGGCAACATCGCCCGGAGCCTTTGTTGTATTAACCTGGTTTAGCCACTTGGTGCCACTTCTTTCTACATTGTCTTGCATACTAAATATGAAGAGGCCCAGTTGGTATTGCAAAAAATTTTTTGTTTACCATTTCTCTTTTAGGAAAAACTAGTACCCCAGAATAAGTTTTGAAAAGCAATAAATCTTACTCTTAGTAATTATTAAACATTTCTTAATGTCCCATGAAAATATTCTAAAATACTATCAAAAAAACAACTGTTCGGTGCCTGGGTGTACACTGCAAGTCAAATCTTTGCAAACTGACTTCAGGCCTGCAGGTGTGTCCTTTCCTTGCTAGTTTTCGCTCTACCATAGTGTAGCACAAATGACAAAATTCTCCACCCTCAAGGGCAAAACAAACAAAAAACTGGCAGGAGGGGGCTGGCCAAGACTATGACATACCTATCAAACTGAAAACTACCAATGATAATGGAGAAGCATATTTACTGGCTTGGGGCTGTTACAATTGGTGAATGAAGCAGAAAAGCCACAAAATTGTATATGCAATTTACTTTTTAAAAATGTGTATACATATTTAGTGGAAAATGGATATACACCTCTATTTTAATGTAGATAAAAGTAACAGAGACTACCAATGACTTTCCTTTTGTGTATTTTGTATTTTGCTACCGTAAACAAAAATTTTTGCAAAATATAAAAAGCAACAATTAATCTCCGTGAACCTGAAGGTAAGTAAAGTTGTTCAAGGAAGGTGCGGAAACCTCAAAGACAGCCTTCTTGGCGGGCTCCTTTTGCTGACCCCTCCTGCAAGCATCCTCAACGATTTTCTTCTACTCGCTGGCTAGCGGCCCAAAAGTCTAATTCCCTGCAGATGACTGAGTTCACCCCCCTTCCAACACAGAAAACACCCAGGCCTGGCTCCAGTACCCTTGTCTCTCTCACACTACTGCACAAAAACAAAGGTGAAGGGGGGAGGGGGGACCTCGGCTCCGCAGCCACCTCGGAAGCACACAGCTAGGGACAGGCTGGAAAATTCCGCCAGGTTTCCAGGGCTCCGGAGCTGCGGGGAGCAGCGGCCCTCTGCAAGGCGGGGCTCCTCGCGCACGGGGCCCGGCCGCTCGGCCCTGCGTGGGCTGACCACCGCGAAAATGCGCGC